GTTCCTCCAAAAAGTAGTTAATCGAACCATGCAGGAAAATTTTTTAAGTCTTATTTGTGTTGTATGAAGTTAGCTTCATACATACATCTTCCAGAGTATGAAATAGATACATACAAGTTCATTCTGATGAACTTCTGATTTTTTTCTAAACTAATCGTATTGTATGATCTTAAGTTCGTACAAACGATGTCCAGAGTATAAAATTACTGCATATCTTTTCGCCCATACGAACAGCTAATATTTTTTAACTCTTCATACTATACATTCATAGGATCGTACATATGACTTATAGAGTATGAAATGGTTGAGTTAATTTTCATCCATACGAATATGTTTATTTTTTGAATTGTTCATACTGTACAATCATATGATCATATAGATGACTTCTAGAGAATGAAATGATTGAGTCCATTTTCATACCAAATGAAATATGGTTTTATTAAAATAGATCATATTATTTGATATAGACTTCATACAGTATGTTATTCAGAGTACAAAAATATTTCATACTGAATCATACTGGTCAAATTTGTTCAATTTTGAACTGATCATACTGACTATGTCATTTCATACACAGGTCAATAAGAGTATGAAATCGATTCAAACTAGATCATGCGAGAAAATTTTTAAATGTTTGTACGTATGATCATCAATCGTATTGTGCAAATGTGGACGATCAAAATTGAAAATTTTAGTTTTCTGGATGATTTTTCATATCTTTTATATAGAAGGTCCTATAAACTGACTATGGAGGAAATCAATCTTCATTTTGTCTTTGAGAGCTAGTGTGAGAGTGATTTAGGAGAGTGTTTGAGAGTGTTGAAGGAGATATTGTAAGTGGAAATTATGAAGGGTCCACAAGGTTGCCCTAAAGTAAGGATCTTTTTGTAATTTTGTCAAATCTCTTCCTTACTTCTTTGAAGTTGCTCGAGAGGAGATCTTTGGAGAAGATTTGGTATTCTGCCAACTCTTGGAGGGTCTGAAAGGATGATGGTACTCTACTGACACTTGAAGGGTGTGAAGGATGACGGTACTCGATCTGCTGACACTTAGAGGGTGTGAAAAGACAACGGTACTTTGCCGCACTGGGAATTGATGGAAAAGAGGGTAATTTTAAAGCCTTGTTTTCCTTGTTGTGGGAGCAAAATGAGAGTCACTTTAGTAATAGTGCAATACATGAAGAGGAAGTCTTTAGGGAGTGCATGTAGATCTAGTTAAATCTAACCACTATAAATTTTTGTGCTCTTATTTTACTGCATTTTTACTTTTTTGGGCGTTTAAATTTTTGTGGTTGAAAATTTTTAAATTAATAAAATTTTAATTGTGTAAAAATTAGAAAATTGTTTTCTATACAAAATATCTATTATATTTTTTAAAATAACCAATTCACCCCGCCTCTTGGTTAGCCTTGGAACAATTGAATTAGGTTTAACAACCTATACAGACTTTTCAATTAATCGTAGAATTAATAACATGCCTGAGGATTAGTAAATCAATTAATTAGAGGTGCAAAAATTAATCATAAATCCATAAAGTAATAATGTCTAACAAATATTTATATTTATTAATTATATTTATCTTATCTATTCATATATTATATATTCATCCAATTCTATCTATGTTATCAATGTGTATGTCAATGTTATAAGTGCTATCAATGTATATATGCATCATAATATGATTTGATAAGGCGGGACATCCAAGTTTATTATGGTATTTTTAATATTTTTTACCTTATTACTTCCTAGTTAGTAATCATTAATATTAATTATAAGTTATTCAAGTTAATTAATCAATTATCATTAATGGTAGCTTTATTAAATCAATAAAGAGTGGTCATTTTTTTCCCGTCAGCATAATCGTTTATCAATTACAAGCAACATTAGGATAATAACACAAATAATTTTTAAAGGAAAGCCCATCGACCCACCCTCATGTGTACGGTATTATGTTTTAACAGCTAACCATAATTAATTATGGTGTTAACAACCAACCTTCCATGCTTTATTTGCTAATGTCACATCCATTTATATGAAATGAAATGCTTCAGAAAATTATAACTTTCATTTCACCTGATAGAAACTGATAATATTACAATCCAAATATTAATAACATTTGTATCTATCGTATATGAAAGGTTACACTCGATTAATAAGAAGAAAATATATTTTTTATCTATTTAAGAGAGAAAATATCCTTCAAACTCAAAATTATTGACAACTAAAATGAGATTTGGGTTACTTACAAAGATTAGAAGAAATCTATCAACAAAATTGATGGACCAAAATTCTTGATATCTTTTTCTCTCACTTCCCTTTTTTTCTCTTTCCTTACTCTCCTTCTTCTCCCTTTCTTTCTTATGCACGCTGGGTGGATGTGAGGAGAGTAAGGGATGGGTGAGTTTTAGTGCTTGAGCTTAGGACTAAATGTATATAAAAACTCAATTAGTGGCCTAGCACTGTAGTGCTCATACTCATCACCACTATGTTGCATGTTAAATCTATAAGTAGAACATAAATTTAAGCATAACAATGGTACTTTTTAGTGTCACTGTGCTCTCAAACCTAGCATTGTTATCATCAAGTTCAAATAGAAATTCAAATTTTAACACATCTCTTATTTTCAAGACATGGATGAGCCAAAAATGATAACATAAGGAAGTAAGATAATATGACAAAGAGAAGAGACATTTGATTTTGGATAAACTAGACATATCCATCCTTGGTTGGGACATTCCAATGAAAACAAAAACTAATGGCTCTTTTCAAATTCAAAGACTTAATGGGAACTATATTAATGCTTGGCATTTGAATCTAAGTCTTATAGTTTCCACACTAAATAATGAGATATGGTGAACCAATTTGATTTAAAAATTTTACCTTCCATAAAATCTTTTGTACATTATTCACAGTGGATTACTTTAAAGGCAGTTGTGAAAATGTCAAAGGATGATGAGTTTTGTTCTTACTTGACTTCTAGCAATATTAGGTAAAGTTGCCCAACATGGAGTGCCTCACATAATATTAGGCAAAGTTGCCTTCCATCATAGTACCTATTTCAATGTAGATTACATCAAAGGGAGTTGTGATAATGTTAAACGATGATGAGATTTGTTCTTGCTTGACTTCTAGCAATATTAGGCAAAGTTTCCTTCATGGAAGGCTTTACATTATGTAGTGAATGCTATCATCCATCAAATTCTTTGCACCGAATGCAAGGATTTTATAATAGAGGGAGTTATGATAATGTCAAAGGATGATGATTTTTTTGTGTTTGACTTCTAGCAATATTAGGCAAATTTTCATAACATGGAGGGCTTCACATAATGTAGCTAATATTATCTTACATCACATTTCATACACATAATGCAAGATATATTACATCAGATGGAGTTGTGATAATGTCAAATGATGATGAGTTTTGTTCTTTCTTGACTTCTAGCAATATTAGGCAAAGTTTCCTAACATGGTGTGCCTCACATAATATAGTGAATGCTACCTTCCATCCCTTTTTTTGTAACTATTTCAAAATAGATTACATCAGAGGGAGTTGTCATAATGTCAAACGATGATCAATTTTCTTCATGCTTGACTTCTAGCAATATTAGGCAAAGTTGCCTAACATGGAGGGCTTCACATAATGTAGCGAATGTTAGCTTCCATCAAATGTTTTGCACTTAATGCAAGATATATTACATTAGAGGGAGTTGTGATAATGTCAAAGGATGATGTGTCTTTTATTTTTTTTTTGGATTTCTAGGAATATCAAGCAAAGTTTCCTAGCATGGAGGGATTCATATAATATAGTGAATGTTATCTTCTACCACATACACCTAATGCAAGCTATATTACATAAGAGGGAGTTGTGATAATGTCAAAAGATGACTAGTTTTGTTCTTATTTGACTTCTAACAATATTAGGAAAAGTTGCCTAACATGGAGGTCCTCACATAATGTAGTGAGGTATTGATCAATTATATGTTAAACATGAAATTGCTTTTATTGTAGATCCAATTCCATCTACCAAGGCCCATGGAAAAAGTTTTCTTTGATGTTGTTGTTGGAAATGCATGGAGTTTTGGAATTAGCAATATTGAAGCACAAGTTGAAGGCTCAATAAGTTCACAAAGGTTCATTATAAATGGAAATCTGAGGGTGCAAGTGCTCAAAAGATTAGGGATGAAGAAGAATTTTGATGAAACAGGAAAATCAAGGGTATTTTTAATCACCTATTTTAAGCAAAAATACATCTTTAGAATTATGGCTCATTTGTATTGTGACAAATAATTTGTGTTAATAAAAAACGAATGAATTACACTTTCCCCTTTAAATCTTATTTTGATTTTTTTGAATCTAAGAAGTGATGACTTTTATTGTATCGAGTACAAGTTAAGCAAGAGAGTTCTAAAGTCAAAGAGGAATGTAGGTATCATATAAATAATTTTCTAATATCAAATATTTTAATTTAAAAATATTTGAACTAAAAGCCTACTTCATCAAAAAAAATTTCTCTCAAACTAAATAGTTTTTATATTATTTTATAAAGAAGCCTTTTATTATAATATCTTTTTAAAATAAATTGTACTAAAAAATGTTTTAGAAAACAGTAAGAAAATTATTTTAAATAAAATTTTAATGAATCTTTAAAAAAGAAAAAAAATAAAAAAAGAGAGAGATGCATATATTAGCAGTTTTTTAAGAAAAGCAATACGTGCAAATACAGTTATATGAAGGCTTCATTTGATCGATTTTTTTATTGTTTTCTGAAAAAAAATATTTTAAATACAAAAATTTGTTGAATTAAAATTTTTTAATTAAAATTTTATTTTAGAAAACATAAAAAAAATATCATCTTAAACAAAGCAGCTTCTTATTTAGTTGATAAATACGAGTATTAACATAAAACTAAACTTGCTCCCGCGAGACACTACACCATCATCCAATATTCTATATTTACTTCCCGTCATCCTTCCCCAGGCACCACCTCCTCTGTTCCCGCAGATTACCATCTCTCCCACCGGCGAAGCCTCCCTAAGTCGCAATCTACGGTGGTGGCCATGCCAAAGGACTGCGGAAACCACAATTCTTACTACCGCCACAAGCTCTATGGCCGGATTTTCGCTTGCTTTCTAAGCCTCATCATCCTCGTCCTGTTCATCATCCTCGTAATTTGGCTCGTTCTCCGTCCCACTAAGCCCAAATTCCTGATCCAGGACACCTCCGTCTACCAATTCAGCCTCGCGTACAACACAAATCTCCTCTCTACGAACCTTCAGGTCACCATCTCTTCCCGCAACCCTAACGATCGCATCGGAATCTACTACGATCGCCTCGACGTCTTCGCTGAATACAAAAACCAGCAGATTACCGCCGCTACAGAGCTCCCTACGGGCTACCAGGGCCACAATGATGTCAACATATGGTCCCCCTTTCTCTCCGGCGTTGCGGTCTCTGTATCGCCGTACCTTGTGGACTCCATCGGCCAGGATGAGAACGCCGGATTAATGCTGATATACATCAAGATTTCCGGCCGGCTCCGATGGAAGGTCGGAACCTGGATCTCCGGCCACTACAACATCGATGTCAGCTGCCCTGCGTTTCTCACAGTCGGTAACGATAATGTCAACGACGGATCGCCGGTCTTCCGGTTCCAGCAGATTTCGCCCTGTAGCGTCGATGTTTAAGGGAAATTTATCTTCTCCAATTAAAAAATCTTGACTTGCATTAGTTATTGATGCGATCTTTGCAGGGATAATTACCTTCCGATTTGCATCGGCGCAATGGATGCGATGCACGATAAATGCATTACGATGTGTTCCAAACGTGAAATTTAATGTCTTAATGCAATTTTTCTTTATTCTTTTTTAAGCGCATTTACTCTCTTACTTGCTTTTCTTGTAAAGCAAAATATATATTGATCTTTCAGTGCTATGCAATTAGTATGTACTCTGTGCTTATTTACAAGATTGAGTTTCATTGGGTGACGTACAAAATAGTTCAAATTATGATGAGTTTCTTTTTTTTTTATTAATTTTCTTATAAATTAAATTAAGAAAAAAATATGTAAAATAAAAATATTTCAAAATAGGCCCAATTCCTTTATCAGACTGGAGCGAGCTGCCAACGTAGCCGAGGTTGAAGACGAGAATGCTACACAACTCCCCTTGGCCTATTGGTTGAGAGCTTAGGCTTCCAACTAAAGAGGTCCAAGGTTCGAGACCATGTATATGCGTTGTGTGTGTGAGTTTGACTTAAATGACCTAAATGTCCCAAAAAAAAAAAAAGACAGAGAATGCTGCCGGCGTTATGGATGATTTTTTTTTATTAAATAGCAATCACCTATTAACCATGCGACTGTCTTATAAATATTTCTTTAATCTTTATGTTAATGAATATTTGAAATTTCTTCATTCAAGCTTTTGCTTGCCAGCGAAGTTTTTACTGAGTCAAACATAAACAAAAATAAACAAGCATAACACGAAATTAATGGAGTTACAAGTAGTGAATCTCTGATCTTTGCTCTTAAAATGAGTATAAATCTTACATGCATGAGCTCTCATATATATAAGACAGTAAATAAGCAAGAAATGAAGAGTGAGGCTAATATTTGATCCATGATTTAATCCAGGGTAAGAAGGAAGAGAGGCAGAGGGTAGAAGGGAGAGGGAGAGGGAAGAAGGGAGAAGGAGAAGAGGGAGAAGAGTTCGAATGTAATAACCCATATTTAAGCACTTGACTATTTATAAAGTACTTCTAAAATTTTGGATTATTGTAAATAAACTTATTAGATTAATTCTAAATTATCTAACAAACTTTAGATTAGTGTAATGAGTGGAGGCAAAATGCATGTATTAAACACCAAAATAAGGTATTTTAGCAAAAAAGATAAAAGATAAAAATTTTGAAAAATCTTTTAAAAAAAGACTAAAGTACCTAAATATCAAAAATTAGTACTTATAATATAGACATGTATTCAACTTAATTATAAAAAATTTGTACTTGTAAAATGTCTAGCCTTACATGAATACTCCTATAAGAATTATCGGAGTCATAATACTTAAAGAAAGCTTATGGATATCAAGGATTAACTAAATAGGTAGTTTTATTAATTCCAAAATTTACAGAAAACCTAAGTAAGTCAAACTTAATAACTCATATAAGTTAGTCAAACTTAATAACTCATAAAAGTTTGGTCTAAAAAGAATATTAATTTTTATCCCAATGTAGTATCATTACTTGAGGACAACTAATAACTTAAATTTTGGGTGAATTCAATAAGGTAGAAATGGATCATTCCAAATTATTTTTATTGTGTTATTTTTGTTTGCAATCCTTTTATTTGGTGCAGAAAAATAGTGAAAAATCATTAAAATTGGACCAACATAACAAAGATAGCACTGCAATGCCAGAACTCATTTTAGCATCACAATTCCTCCTTCAACACAACAATAGAGAGTTTACTAAAAAATGTGTTGGAGAGCTTAGTACTTAAGCACTATCCATCCAGCTTCGCAACAACATATTGAAGCGCCGCAATGCCAAATCACCCAACGCCATAGAATTATTTAGTTGGACTCGTGAATCAAATTGGTGAACCGATGCACTAGTTTAGTAGTGTCACGACATAACAAATCCAATGTCGCAATGCTCGTTCAAATAATTTATAAAAGTGTAAATAGTAACATTAGACTTATTGTAAAGGTTTTACACATTATCGAGTCATTTTGTGAGAGTGTGTGTCGGAGTATGAGGGTTATCCTGGTGAGAATGTAGCATGTGTACTTGTACCTAGAGTTTTGCATTAGAGTGGAGCAAAGCAAGGAAGTGAATAACGGGTTACAATTCTACTTTTGGGTCACATCTAAAGTTTACTTTATCTTGGTATGTGTACTAGTGCCTCCATGTATATATTACTTAGAGTAAGTTTAATCTTTAATCTATCCATGATATTTTTACTTTGTTCATTCCTCAAATGATTTATATATAGGTTGTATATATAAAAAAAAACTTAGTGTGATATGAAACCACAATGGACAAATATAAGAACAATTAGAGAACTTAAATCATAGTCTGACCATAATATAAATATATGGTAGCTAGGGTTATGGAGTCTTGAGGAGACAAAAGAACTATAGCTTATGAGGATCCTAACATGTGCTCCAATGAGCTCGATGGAGATGAGGAGTATAATTTCTCTAATCCAAAACAATAATAGGACATAAAGCTCTCTAAAGCATTATGTTCTTTTTGAAAGTTCGTTAGGAATGTTAGGCCCTCTTGAACTTAGTCCCAAGCTAATTAAAGAGAGAAGTGAATTGGAAAACTTTAAAACCAAAATACAATCCAAATCACCACAATAATAAATGCGGAAATTAAAACGCGGAAGTAGTAAAAAGAAAGAACACACCGGATTTATAGTGGTTCGGTCAAACCTTGACCTACGTCCACTCCTTGGAGGCACCCCCAAGTATTGCACTAAACTAGTGTCTCTCCTTTAGCCCCCACGGCTAGGCGGAGAAGCCCTTACAAAATCACTTCCACCTTCCCCGGTGCGGCGGAGTCGCCGGGTCCTTTGACACCAAAGAGACTTCTTCTTTGGTGAACTTACCTCGAGAAAAGCCTTGAATCCGATGGTACTAAGGTGCGAGTTTGCCGGAGCAACCGTGTGGAACTCCCTCCACACTCCCTTGAGTCCCCCCTCACAGGATCTTCTCCCTCTCTCAAACTCCACCCTTTCCTCTCTCCCTTTCAAGCTCTCTCTTCTAGTTTCCCCCATAAGAACGAAGCTACAATGGCTGCCAAAGACTCTTACAAAGTGCCTTTCCAAAGCTTAAATAGAAGCTCTCAAAACGAGCTCATTAATGCAAGTTGCCGACATTATCGTCCAGGACGATAGGCCTATCATCCTGGCCGATCAGTACAAATTAAGCTCATTAGCCCGGGACGATTTGAGACGATCAGAAGAAAATTGGTTATATCGTCCAGGCCGATCTCACAATCGTCCTGGCTGATTAGTTCAAATCAGATTTCAATCGTCCTGAGCATCGCCCTATTTTTGAGCTGGCCGATATGATCGTCAGGCCATAGTCTGGCCGATCATTGGCGATCGTCCCGGCATGGTGATCGGTATCAAAATCAACGACCATTAATCTCCACCTTTATTTCGTGATCAATTAAGGCATAATTTGGTATTTCGTCCAGGCGATCCCTTGGATCGTCCGGCCGATAATGTTAAAAATGACAGTATATACCTAATTATCTATAGGACGGTTGATTGCTTTCTGAATTGAGCTTTCTCCGCCATCGTTCGCACAGGCCGATCAGAGATTGACGGCGTGCCTTAATGAAGGATGCCCTCAATTATGGTTTCTGATTTTTGGCAGATCGTCCAGGCCGTTATATAATATCGTCCCGGATCAATGTTACCAAAGTAGAAAATCATATAGGGAGCAAGAGAATTCTACCAAGTTATAGGCCAACAGCTAAAATACAACAGACTCAAGAAAGGAAAAAGATTAACAAACTGATACAGACCTAGTCTACCCAATCTTGAGCTGATTCCAGATTGCAATCTGAACGTGTAGACCTGAAACATTAGCACATAAGGCAATCATAGAGAAATAAGGAATGTTTGCTATCATCAAAATCATAAACCATAGATCCGTAACACTTTTGATAATCACAAGTTCAAATTTTTTTAAATTAGTCAACTTTCTTTTTGAAATTTAATGCACTTTACTTTTATCCTACAACACCTTTTACATAGCTAGATAAATTCATCAGTTAGTTGGTAATAATAAAGAGATCATAGGATATTTATAGTGTTTCCACATGGGATTGAAACTCCTTTCATCATTATGTTACTTAATTTGATATGTGCACTTGGGTTAAAACATGACTTACACCATAAAAATTTAAACTTTCATTAGAAAAGTGTCGAGTGTGTGTAAGTTAAAGCATGAACCGTTACATTTGTATAAGCTAAATAATAGTTGTAGCAATGTTGATTCACATAGCACCACAACCCATAATTGTTTAGGCAAAAGAAAAAGTGTTCAATGTCATAAAGATGTCTATCCTGGCACTCCGACTCTCTCTAGGGATTCCTATTTTTTCATTCACGCACAAATTCTACTAAGACCCACCTCATAATAGATTAAGACAATCACATGTTAATATAAAACTCATAAATAAATGTCAGATGTATTAAATGTTGAAACTTAGTAGGTTACTTTATAAGATCGAGTCAAAATAGGTGCAACTATGCAATGATTAAGTAGGTGTTATAAGAAGGGAACTTCAAAAATAAATATATTACTTTAACATTGGTATAATAAACTATTGTGAGAGCCATAAAACTAACAAAGTCCTAATAATTAATTATATAAACTTCCTAGTATCCATAGGACTATATACTGCTTAACACTTTATTATCAGCTCAATGAACCATCACCTTCCGAAGGCCTAAAACTAATATCTTGCCTCAAGGGCTCCAATGACTATTGATTCATCTACTGTAGCGCATAAAAAATTAAACCACCTACTATCTATCATTTGAATTTTTCATTTTTCTCCATTATCCATAAAGAGTCATTAGCTACCTTAGTTAACATAAACTTGACATACCAACTCTATCATTTTTGTACTACTACCAATTAATAGATTATCAAATTAACAAGGCCTATAACTAAACAACATTAACCCTTATATTTCTTAAAACAACTAAAGTTCTTGCATGATCAAATGGTATAAGTTTTTGGTTACATGTGATATCTTGTATTTTTTTGATAGTCCACACCAATATGGGTGACATTTCTCTCTAATCCTCAAGCATATTTATACCTTATTTTTTAACCATACTTTTAGACTCAACACTTGGTGAATACCTTGATATTTTTGACCAATCACTCCTTTTCACCTTAGTTATTGTCACCTTTGCCTCATAACCAAAGAATTTGTCATGGACATTTTATCTTCTAGGTTACATT